TCTCACTATGTACTTCAGGCTGGTCTTGAACTCACTGTGTAGACCAGGCTGGCCTTGCACTAGAAGCAATTCTCCTGCCTCAGCCTCTGGAGACTTTTTTTTTTTAATTTTGGTTTTTTGAGACATGGTCTCACTATGTACTTCAGGCTGGTCTTGAACTCACTGTGTAGACCAGGCTGGCCTTGCACTAGAAGCAATTCTCCTGCCTCAGCCTCTGGAGACTAAGATTACAGGCATGTGCTACCACATCCAGCTATTTCTGTGTATTAAACATATGGAAAGCAAATTAATCTCTATACTTTGTCAAAAGTTAATTACTATGGGCCGGGGATTTAGCTCAGTGGTTCCACTGCCTGCCTTGCAAGTGCAAGGTCCCAAGTTCAATCCCCAGTACCAAAAAAAAGTTAATTACTGTATAAAAGAATAGCCACAGACTTAATACACAAGGAACACATTCAGACCAAGTGAAGGTCAAATGAAATCATAATGTATTATATAAGTCAAAATGTATAGTAGTTAAATAGCGAAAAATGGTGGGAGAAATGAGAAATGAGTCATCAGATTGCACCTAAGTATACAGACATATTGAATTTAAGAGAGCCTGGGGGCAACTGAGTTACAGCAAAAGACTGAATTTGAAGTTTATTTTTACTTGAAGTATAAATCTGTTTTTGTTTACATTTGTATACAAATTGCAGATAGCAACTTTAAACTTATCATGCTTGCATATATTTAAGTAACATAATAAAAATAAGTCAGCACTCCAGATTCAAGATAATTCATTTTTTTCCTAAAATGAGTCTGTGCATTCCTCAAGTTTGAAAACTACTGCTCTGAGCAGCAAGAAGCTAAGAAAGTTTTAAGGCAGAATGTTATGATGAGAGTCATCACCATCCTCTTAAAATCCATATCTTTACCAAAAACTACCTATCATTGAATGGTATCTAATTTCCCTTTAATAGTTAGGAAACACTGAAGGTACAGACTACATCCTATTCCTATTTGCCAACTACTGTTTCTAAAATAGAATTTACTCAAAGAATAACTGCCCTAAGTTATTGGAGTTGCAGAAATGTCCTGAATGTGGACCTCCAAACAACAACAAAACTGTCTTTAAAAATATTCAGATAACCTGGCCAAAGCTGTACATTCTTACAATCCTAGCTACTTGGGAGGCTGAGGCAGGAGGATCAC